TTATATTATATTATATTATATATAATTTAACCCAAAAAAGTGGATTATTTATGCTCCCAAACTACGAAAAAGCACAATCAAAAGTAGGCTATATTAAATGTATCCTTTCACATTTTGTGTGAGAATACTATCCTTTACCGCACTGAACAAGTCAGGTTGCTTCAGACACATCTGGTAAACGATTAATAACTAGGCCTCAGAGTTTCAATGTGTTTGCCTGACACTCTACTTCCCTCTGCTGGGCAAGCTTCAAAATTAATGGAAACTTGGTACTTGGAGGAGCCAGAAAAAAACTTGAAGCAAGGACTGTATGTGATGTAACTTTAGATAGATCAAAGACTTCAGACAGCATTAAAATTATCCTAGCTGAAAATAACTATATTTTCCTCTGGCAGACCTAACTTATTCTCAAATTTAATATATATTATATTACTTTGTAATAAAATATTATATTATTTATAATGCCTTAAGCTATTGTAGAAGGAAGGCCGTCTATGTTTCCTCCACGAGTGAGCCTCTCTCTTTGTTGTTGTTGTTGTTGTTTTTTTGTAGTACAATAAAATAATATTTGAGTTATGAACTACTGGTGAAACTGTTACACAAAAAAGGAAAAATAAAGTACGTCTTCAATTCCTCGTTTGTGTGTTGTGCTCAAAACACGAGAGGGCAGCAGCAGTCCATCATGAAAACATAGATCTCTGCAGCCCTATGAACTAGATACAGTTTGGGAGAACTGTGATTGTGAATATAGCCTAAATATTATGCAAAATATATAAAAGATAATGCGGAAACGACCGGTTGACTGTACATTATCCGGCTTATGCGGCGACTCACCAAATAAATAAATACGAGGACATGAAATATTCATTCGAGTTGAAATTATTTTATAATTTAACCATTATCCTAAAGCTAAGAAAGGAAATACAGCATAATCGGCACACCAGTAAGACACTGCACCAGCAATATAATAATGTTAACTTAATAGTGTATTAAAGTTCTCTGAAGGCACACGATAGCACCAGTTGCGTTTGTACGGACAAATCACGCACTTTCTCACTCAAAAACAGTATGGGATATTAGCTGGATATTTACAACCCACTGCTGGAAACAATCTGCACAAGCAGCTTGTGAACGATTCTGAACTGCAGGTAAAAACTATTTATGTCCATAACAGTTTTTTAAACATAACATATCAAAGTATGCCCCAGTGCTGAATGAAAGGCTAGAAATGCCCCTGGAACCATTCCCACTGAAACGCAGTATGTCCAGATAAAAAGTGCTCAAACCCATGTAAACCCAGTTAACAGACCGACTTGTCCAAGCCAGGAGACCAGAAAGCCTAGCTGAAGCTCTTTTCCCTCAGCAAAGGCGGTCTGAGGTATAAACCCAAAAAAAGTTTATACGCTTCCTGTGTAAGAGCAAAGACGGTCAGCGTTCTGCTCCTTTTCCGCTGTGCTGCGTCCAGCTGTTTTTTATGGCGTTTAGCCCGGAGAGAGTGCACGCACTTAAAACATGTCTCCTCTCACTCAAACTGTGTCCTGTGCACTCTCAAATCTCTCTGTGCTCATGCGCTATAGATATTAATTATTTTCGCACCTGAATTAAACGTTGTCAAAGGTTATCATTATGCACTTTTAAATGAAAAATTAATTATAGTGTTATATTTGGTCTCCAAATCTTACGTATAGGTTTAGGGAATAGTACATCCGACCCATATCTAAATAGTTCTGCCTTAAATCAGAAGATATATTTATATATATATATATTTCAATCCAAGTAGACATGTTTTAAGTGCGTGCACTCTCTCCGGACGAGAGCAGCGTCTATCTGAGCGCGCGCGTCCGGTTTTGTGCGAGAGCAAAAAAAAACCCACGCGCGAGCGGAGAGATGCACGCTCGCGCATCATATTAATGTGCTTTCGCGCTACAATAATGTGCTCTCGACATTTGTCATTAAAATAACGCCATACAGAGCAGATTTTTTTTTCATGAAAATCCACTTAATATTAGCTACACATTCAATGGCACTCTTCTCTAAAACAGTGAATATACAGTTATATGACAGTTACATGTAATTACATTGTCTGCAAATGCATTAAACCCATATAATATAATGTAGTAATGTTATGGCAAATATGAAAAATTCATTATAGTGTTATATTTGGTCTCCAAATCTTAAGTATAGGTTTAGGGAATAGTGCATCTGACCCATATCTAAATAGTTCTGCCTTAAATCAGAAGATATATTTATATATATATATATTTCAATCCAAGTACACAATATATATAGACCTATATGACCACATGAACTTTAAGAATCATATGCTTTTTTGTTTGTTTAGATCGTTCAGAAGGGTTTGACCAAACTGTTAAACTAGGTTATTTACAAATCATCCAAACACCCGTTTCATTTCTAATATTATGACTACGTAGTATTAAATTGTACAGAAATTACAGAGCCATCTTTGAAATCTGATTGGTTGATAACTTTTGACAACATTTAATTCAGGTGCGAAAAGAATTCATATCTATAGCGCATGAGCACAGAGAGATTTGAGAGTGCACAGGACACAGTTTGAGTGAGAGTAGACATGTTTTAAGTGCGTGCACTCTCTCCGGACGAGAGCAGCGTCTATCTGAGCGCGCGCGTCCGGTTTTGTGCGAGAGCAAAAGAAAATCCGCGCACGAGCGGAGAGATCCGCGCTCGCGCATTATATTAATGTGCTTTCGCGCTACAATAATGCGCTCTCGACATTTGTCATTAAAATAACGCCATATTTTTAAACGCTAAAAGAACGCAGAACGCGTCCTCTGCGTGTGTGAACGGCCCACAAATTACAGGCTTAGGACCACGCCTGTCCTAGAAGGAGGAGTGGGTGAAAGCATAAATGCATAAATGTTTCACTGTCACGCTTTACAGCTGCAAAGGAGCACAGGGCAAAAAGTCAGAAAATGTCCGGCGTGGCATCCACACTCGCCAAGAAGAGAGCCGTGGCGGCTGGCTTTGGGACGAACGCCAATGCGGTGAAGTACCTGAACCAGAACTTTGAGAGTCTGAGAAGTGAGTGTCTGAGCCGTGGGCAGCTGTTCTGCGACCCAACGTTCCCAGCCGCTCCCGAATCGCTGGGCTTCAACGAACTCGGTCCACGATCGCCAAAAACCAGAAGTGTTGTGTGGAAAAGACCCGGGGTGAGTTCCTGTCAAAGCAACATAAATGTAGTTTTACCAAAGTAATGCATCATGTAGGTAGTAACCAGTTCATGTCCTAGGTTAAATGCGTTTCTATCTATCTATCTATCTTTGTCATTGTGGCATGAAGCATTCAACTCTTGGTAATGTGATTTTCATAAAAGGCAAAATATGCCATTGCCAACACATGACTCATCCCATGAGTATTTAAATGGAAAACTGGCAACATAGAACAAATTTCCAATGCTTTTTACCATTTCTGCAGGAACTGACCTCCAATCCTGAGTTTATTGTTGGAGGGGCTACAAGAACAGATATTTGCCAAGGAGGTTTAGGTAAGCAAACACCCCTGCTAGGTGCAGATCTAACAGATTTAAAAGTCCACAGGGTGTTTGTGTGAGATTAACCAAATATGTCTTGCATTTTATGAAGCTCTCTTGGAGTTGTTATTCATTTTAACTTTATTGGGAAATCCCATCTAAACATGTGGAAACATTTTAAGAAAGCACACCCAATGTCTTTGAGTATTCTGTTCCCCTTTAAACAAGTTTGCACGCTCTCATAATTAATTAATATTGCACTGCCGTCTAATTCTCACTATTAAATGAGACCCTGTAGTTACTCACACATCAGAGAAGTCTTTGTGCACTTTTTGGGAAAAATACTAGCCTGCTGTTTTCAGCTCTCGTATTTGTTTTACTTGCAATGAATCTGTTTAGCCGGGTGGAGAAATCCTCATGAAGTGGGGTGTGATTTGCACCATTGCATAACACAGAGGGCGATTTCCTGTACATTTGACATTTGCTAGACATTTTTTGTAGATTTTACTTAATTACTTATTTTTGTGTATTTGCCTAAATATTCGTTTCTTTACAAAAAATATTATTTTTGTATTTATTAATTAAAGTTTGATTTTATTGTTTTTTTTATCACTTTTTTTATTTAGTCAGTTTGAGATCACATCATGTGCATAGGCTTGATTTAAGGCTCATGCAATACTTGTAGCCTCACTAAACACTCCAGAGAGGCATAAATTATTATTAAATGAAATGGTTTCTCAGTCCTACTTCATTGTTTTATAGTGCGAAATAGAGCTAAAATTGTTATGATACTGGTTGAGGAAACTGCAAATCAAGCCTGCCAGTTTCAACGTTACTATAGTAACACTTTCAGTGTTGTTGCACATCATATCATCAGGAACATATTGTCATAGATGTATGAAAGATGAAAGCTGAGTCATTCAACTGAAAAGGAAACCGTTTTTTAGCTCAGTGAGTTGTGGGCATACTCATTTCAAAGATTAGTCAGCTGACATGTTGTGGAAGAATCTGAAAGGCGGTTTATTTAGAGGCATTCAGCTAAACTGAGTCGTCTTTGTGAAGATTATGGAATGCACAGGATTTTGGGCGGGACAAAAAATGTAGGCCTACAAACAAACCGCTGGAGGATTGAATCTCAGCATTTGCAATTGAGCATGTGGGAAATTATCTGAAAGGGATAGTTCACCACAAACATTAAAATTCTGTCATTATTTACTCACCTTCATGTCATTCCAAACCCTTTTGTTTTCTTTCTTCTCTGGAACATAAAAAAAAAATGTATGTAGTTGATTGCTCTTTTCCAGTTCAGTTACAAATCATGGAGACTGAAGCCTTCAAGTTTGAAGTCTTAATATTTTTAAACTGCTTTAGCTTATTTGCATTCTTAATTTCTGTGCTTTGGTAAAATGTCAATGTTCCTTATTAACGTTGATTATACCTTTGTATATGTAAATCTGGTAAAGTTCATCAAACTTTCACAACTACAAGAGTTTCCTTTCTGCAGGTGATTGCTGGCTCTTAGCGGCCATTGCTTCCTTAACCCTCAATGAAGACGTTTTTGCTCGTGTCGTACCATCCAACCAGGGCTTTGGGCAAAACTATGCTGGAATTTTCCACTTTCAGGTAAACAAAGTAGATATGAAAGTTACATTGCACTTGGACAGCCTGTGAAGAGAAATATGTTGAATAATTGGGATGTTTGCAGAGAGATTACGTTTTAAGGAATGAAGCCTTGATAGGAGGTTGATAAAGCATTTTGGGTTAGAGTTTGCGAAGTAGTTGCTATTTTGTTCTGGGAGGTTGCTTGCTGCCTCTATGTGCTCAGCCTTACTGTATTTTGAAATTCCACTTTTTGCTGCGCCACTGAGTTTAATTGTATTTAAGCATTTAAATAATTTCCGGATCATAACTGTAAGTGACGCCAGAGATTATTCACAGGCCTTTCAGATGTAGCAGGCATATCAGTCTGTGCTTTGGCTCTTGATGATGAGCATTCGTGAGTTATGAGGTTGTATCTTAAATCTAATCTGCTGTGATTCCTCCCTAATTTAAGTAAATTTGTTTTGCTGGTTGCAGTTGTGGCAGTTTGGGGAATGGGTGGATGTGGTGGTGGATGATCGATTGGCCACTCGAGATGGAGAAGTGCTGTTTGTTCATTCCGCCACAGGCTCTGAGTTCTGGAGCGCCCTGCTGGAGAAGGCCTATGCTAAGTGAGTCATAATCTCCGCTTTTGTTGGGTTTGGAATGTGTTTGTCTTGCATCATTATAGCCACAATTGCTGTCTAGCTTACATTTTAGAATCGGTCTATTTGTTTAGTCTATTTTTTGCTTTAAAATAGTCTATTAAAATTATTATAATTAATTCTGCTGAAATTATTAAAATAATTATAATAATTTTTAATTTAAGAAATGTATACAAACTAAAAGTTTTGAAGTCTAATGCTAACCAAGGCATTTGTTTGATCAAAAATACAGTAAAAACAGTAATATTGTGACACATTATTATTATAATTTAAAATAACTGTTTTGTATTTTTATATATTTTAAAAAGTAATTTATTCTTGTGATGGCAAAGCTGAATTTTCAGCATCATTACTTCAGTCTTCAGTGTCACATGATCCTTCAGAAATCATTCTAATATGCTGATTTGCTGCTTAAGAAACATTTCTTATTATTATCAATGCTGAAAACGGTTGTGCTGCTCAATATTTTTGTGCAAACCTGGATTCTTTTACCTTAAATTATAAATATGTTGTTACCGCTTTGCAGAGTGGTCAGTCATCATACACATGTAGCTCACAAATGTTGTACAATACTTTTATACCCTATGTTGGTAGTCTGTTTCACTCTTTTTTTGCACACATGTGTGACACCGTGTTCTCTTATTCAGAGTGAATGGATGTTATGAAGCTCTGTCTGGAGGTTCCACCACAGAAGGTTTTGAGGATTTCACTGGTGGGATTGCAGAAATGTACGAGTTGAAACACGCCCCGTCCAACATTTTCCAAATCATTAGGAAGGCCCTGGAATCTGGAGCTCTGTTGGGATGCTCCATAGATGTATGAGCTCTTTAGCACACAAACTGATGTTAAAGGATTAGTTCACCCAAAAATTCAAATCCTGTCAGATAAGATACAGTAAAATAATGCTTATTTTACATAGATCACCAATGCAGCAGACTCTGAGGCCATCACTTATCAGAAGCTTGTGAAAGGACATGCCTACTCTCTTACTGGAGCAATCGAGGTTCGTCATCTGAGTGTCTTTCATTTTTTTAGGCTCCCTTTGCATTACTGTTCAGATAATGCCTTGGATTAGAATACATTCAAATGATTTCCTGTGCATTTGCTTAGTTAAAGGAGACTTACACTAAAAGTAGCATTCTACTTGTTTTTTTTTTTTTTTATTGCATCTTTTAAATCAACATTTTTAACAATTTACACCCTAAATTAAAAACAAATAACAAAGCCCAGCCATTACAATTAAAGAAAAAAAAGGGGACATACAGGAGCATTATACTATACCATACTTTAAAATATTACTCAAAGAAACATCAATACAATCTAGATATGGAGTCCAGACTTGATGAAAATCTTCAGTTGACGAATGAATAACACATGTTAAGAATTCTAATGGAATAATTTCTCTGACAATCTTGTGTCATCCCTTAGCATTCTACTTGTTAACATTTATATGTATAATCTACACTGAACAAAATTATAAACGCAACACTTTTGTTTTTGCCCCCATTTTTCATGAGCTGAACTCAAAGATCTAAGACTTTTTCTATGTACACAAAAGGCCTATTTCTCTCAAATATTGTTCACAAATCTGTCTAAATCTGTGTTAGTGAGCACTTCTCCTTTGCCGAGATAATCCATCCACCTCACAGGTGTGGCATATCAAGATGCTGATTAGACAGCATGATTATTGCACAGGTGTGCCGTAGGCTGGCCACAATAAAAGGCCACTCTAAAATGTGCAGTTTTATTGTATTGGGGGGTCCGGGGGGGTCCGAAAACCAGTCAGTATCTGGTGTGACCACCATTTGCCTCACGCAGTGCAACACATATTTGAGAGAAATAGGCCTTTTGTGTACATAGAAAAAGTCTTAGATCTTTGAGTTCAGCTCATGAAAAATGGGGGAAAAAACAAAAGTGTTGCATTTATAATTTTGTTCAGTGTATCTATAATCTTGTCAGGTTAATTACCAAGGCCGAAAGGAGAAGCTGGTCAGAGTTCGTAATCCTTGGGGTCAGGTGGAATGGACGGGGGCCTGGAGTGACAAGTAAGACCCAAAAATTCAAAACAATATTAATTTATCAAGAGGTATATTTACTATATCATGCAGTTGCATAAGTTTGTAATGAAGTTGATGTAGTGTTAAACAGTAGTATATTCACAATATAGCTGGACCTAATTTGACCGTAATTATGTCTGCGTATTTTAGCTCTTCTGAGTGGAATGCTGTCGATTCGTCTGAACGTGAGAATGTGAAAGCAGAAGATGGAGAGTTCTGGTAAAATTCAGTTAAAAACCATACAACCGCAACACTGAAGCTCTTTTTGGAACAATTATTCACTACCTGTTTGCACTTGTGTAGGATGTCCTTCTCAGATTTTGTGAGGCAATATTCTCGCATAGAGATCTGCACTCTGACCCCAGATACACTGACATCTGACTCTGTCAATCACTGGAGTGCATGTAAATTTGATGGCACCTGGAGAAGAGGCTCTACGGCTGGTGGCTGCAGGAACCATCCATGTAAGCATGCTTATATTTCTGTAACCGACCAAAAGGTTTAAGTGGGCGTGACATAACAGCATCAGCTCAAGTTTGGAGAGGGACTGTCTATCAGTGGCAGAGTCAACCTTTTGTTCACTGTACAAATTGTAAAAAATAAAATAGCTTTGCACCACAGAAATAAATGACATTTTAATATATATTCAAATAGAAAAAGATTTTTCAATTTAAATAATATTTCACAATATTACTGCTTTTACTATATTTTTATTTATCAAATATAATATTACTGTTTTCATTGTACTTGATTTTACTGTATTTTTGATTGAGTATAAGAGACTTCTTTTAAAAACATTAAAAAAATCACTTTTTAATGGTAGCATATGTGAAAACAATTAATGTGAAATATGCAAACTGAAAAACTGTAACTTGTTGCTTTAATTGTCATCTTAATTATTTGTCTTCCACAGACACCTTCTGGATGAATCCTCAGTTTAAGATCAAATTGGAGGAGGAAGATGATGATCCTGATGATGATGAAGTGGGCTGCAGTGTTGTGATTGGCTTGATCCAAAAGAACCGGCGTAGGCTGAGGAAGTCTGGAGAGGACATGCACACCATTGGCTATGCCATCTATGAGGTGGGGATGCTAAGATACAAATGTTTATGTCTCTTTTGTTGTAAATTTTATGACATAACCTGTGAAGGGCGCTGTTTATACAACTATTCCTTTTCTTTTCTTCTAGGTGCCTCCTCAGGTGAGCATAATGGAATAACTTTAAAAGCATTTCTGAAAATTGAGAGAATAAACATAAATAGTAATAATGAAGCATTTGAAATATATTTTACTAAAAATACTGGTCAATAATATCCACAGAAAAAACATTCAATGCACCAAGAAACCACCTAGTAATGCCCTAGAAACCCTCAAACCACCCCAGCAACTGCCGGGTAACCTCCCATAGCACCCTAGTAGTGTTGACTTTTGCTCAGGCAAACACCACTCACATTTTCTTCAGAAAATGTATGAATCTGGTTTATTGTCCCTTTGGTTCTTGATCACCTCATTGCAGTTCCACGGGCAAAAGGACATTCATCTGGATAAGAACTATTTCCTGACCCATGCTCAGAAAACTCGATCAGAGACCTTTATCAACCTTAGAGAAGTCAGCACCCGCTTCAAACTTCCTCCTGGAGAATATCTCATCGTCCCATCCACATTCGAACCGCACAAGAACGGAGACTTCTGTGTGCGTGTGTTCTCTGAGAAACAGTCTGAGATGCAGTAAGGATTGTCTCTTTTTTTATTACCTTTATTTAACCAGGAAAAAGACACACTGAGATTAAAATCTCTTTTACAGGAGTGTCCTGGCCAAGATAGGCAGCCAAGTTTGCATATACAAATAAACAACAAAGTTACAACATACAGTACTAAAACCGACATACAAACATATAACCAATTAAAAACAATTACACACCTTTAATTCACTCTCTAGATTACGTAGTCAAGATTTAAAATAATTATAAGTCACCAAGTTTTGTAACTTCATCTCCTTTTGGAGAAGATTCCAATCTGAAGTGGCAGCATATTTAAGGGAAGTTTTACCAAGTTCACAAAGATTATCATTTGATTGAGAACGTACTGAGTAATTGCCAGACAAAGTCCTTTGAATAAAACAACGGAGATAAAATGGTAAATAACCCAATATGACTTTATATATCAATAGATACCAATGCATTTTTTTCCGAATACTCAAAGAAGGCCATACAACTCTTATGTATAGTTCACAATGATGTGTTGAAAATTTACAATTAGTTATAAATCTCAGAGCATCGTGGTACAATGCATCCAAGGAGGCAAGAAGATAAGAGGGAGCATGCTGATCCCCATAATCGAGAACTGGTAGAAAAGTAGCGGACACTAATTTCTTCCTCACATTGAATGAAAAGCATGACTTATTTCTAAAATAAAACCCTAACTTTTTCTTTAATTTTTGCCTCTAATACTTAATGTGTGAACCAAAATGTAATGTGTTATCAATAATAATACCCAGGTATTTGTACTCTGACACTGAAGTAATTTGGCTCCCCTGAGAAGTCGGAAGAACAATTTGTTTTCTGGAGAAGTTTAGACTTTGAAAATAACATAACCTATTATGGATAATATCAAAAGCAGACTGTAAAAAAGCCACAGATTGTTGCTTAGAGGTGGCTGAACATATATATATATATATATATATATATATATATATATATATACTGTGCATCTTGACATATTATTAAATAGGCTTAGATAGTAGGACTATCACAGTGTTCCCACGCTTCTTGAAAGTACTTGAAAGTACTTGAATTTCAGACATATGGATTCAAGGCCTGGAAAGTACTTGACCTCCAGAGGATATGACTGAACACCTTCTATCTGTACACATTGGGTTCTTCCCTTTAAATAAGCAATGAACCACAAAATAACATTTTCTGATAGTCCTACCATCGTATTTAATAGCCTATTTAATAATATGTCAAGATGCACAGTATCAAAGGCCTTTGATAAGTCAATAAAAAGACAAGAACAATGTTGTTTATTATCTAAGGACTCCACAATGTCATTTAAAACTTTTTAAATGGCTGTAGTAGTACTGTGCCCTTTACGGAACCCGGATTGGTTAATAGACAAAATATTATGACAGTTTAAATACTGTGTCAACTGTTTGCTAACTAGATTTTCCAAAGGTTTTGAGAGAATACAGAGCTTATATATAGGTCTATAGTTATCCATTAAAGAAGGATCACCCCCTTTTGACAGGGGAATTACAAATGCTGATTTCCAGATCTTAGGGAATGTATTAGTTAATAATGAAAGATTAAACAGACACGTCAGCGGTCACGACTAGTTTTAAAAACAACGGAGCAATATGATCAGGACCTGCCGATTTATTCACGTCTAATTATTTTAAAGCAGAACAAACATAGGAGAGAGTAATTTTTTGAAAAGCGAACTCTCTTGTCCATAGATTACGTTCAGCTTCAAGGAATTCTAAATTTGAATTTATATAATTATATGTTTGAAATAAAACCCCCATGCAATAAAATAACTATTAAACATTTGCTTTTATCTACAATTTTTGATAAGCTCTTGATATGAAACTCTATACTCTACTTTATTACAAGTGGTCCTAAGAAACCTGCCAAGAAATGACAAAACATATAATTATTATTATTATTATTATTTTAATTTAAATAATTCTGTGGTCTGAAGGAAATTATTCCTTTTTCTGTTTTTCTTATTTATTTATTTATGAATGACAGTAAATTCTTATTTTAGTTTGTAGGCACGAAAATAGTTGTAGTCAATATAAAAAAATATATAAATGTGGTCAATGTGTGTGTATATATATATATATATATTTTTTAGGCAAACATAGAAGATGTAAGTCCCATTTTCCTGTGTTCCTCTTATAATGCTATCATTGACTTTATTAATGTGAACATTATCAATAAACCTCTTTTCTGACTCCTCAGGAGACAGTGTCTGAAGATGAGGTTGATGCTGGCTTTAGGGGACTGTTTACTAAACTTGCAGGAGATGTGAGTTATTTTAGACCCTGCATAATGTTCATGAATTACCTTGATAAACATGAAACATGTTTGACCAATTAAATATAAAAATAATGTTTGCTCTTCCCTAAGGACATGGAGATCTCTGCCACTGAGCTGCGAACAATTTTCAACAAAATAGTTGCAAAAAGTTAGTCTTTTCTTATTATATATATATA